CTAAGGACATGTCTCTGAAGTGTCCTGCTCCAAACCCAACAAGGTCCTTGTGCCCCCCCCCTCTCTTCCAGCTGTTACTAAGGACATGTCTCTGAAGTGCTTCCTGCCTCCACCAACCCCAACAGATCCTTGTAGCCCCCCCCTCTCTGTCCAGCTGTACTAAGGACATGTCTTCTGAGAGTGTCCCTGGCTCCTAACCCTCCAACACATCCTTGTAGCCCCCCCCCCCCTCTGCTTCCAGCCTGCTTTTTACCTAAGCGACATGTCTCTGAAGTGTCCTGCTACAAACACCAAATCAGATCCCTTTTAAGCCCCCCCTCTCTTCCAGCCTGTTACTAAGGCACATGTCTCTCTGAAGTGTCCTGCCCCCTCCAAACCCCAAACAGGTCCTTGTAGCCCCCCCCCATCATCTTCCCGCTGTTACTTAAGCGACATGTCTCTGAAGTTGTCCTGCTCCCAAATCCCCCATTCAGATCACTTGTAAGCCCCCCCCCCCCTCTCTCTCCAGCTGTTGCTAAGGACATGTCTTGAAGTGTCCTGCTCCAAACCCCAAACAGGTCCTGTAGCCCCCCCCCCCCTCTCTTGCAGCTGTTACTAAGGACATGTCTCTGAAGTGTCCTGCTCCAAACCCAAAACAGATCTTGTAGCCCCCCCCCCCTCTCTTGCAGCTGTACTAAGGACAGTCTCTGAAGTGCCTGCTCCAAACCCCAAACAGATCCTTGTAGCCCCCCCCCTCTTTCCAGCTGTTACTAAGGACATGTCTTGAAGTGTCCCTGCTCCAAACCCCAAACAGATCCTTGTAGCCCCCCCCCTCCTCTCTTCCAGCTGTACTAAGGACATGTCTCTGAAGTGTCCTGCTTCCAAACCCCAAACAGGTCCTGTAGCCCCCCCCCCCTCTCTTCCAGCTGGTTACTAAGGACATGTCTCTGAAGGTCCTGCTCCAACCCCCAAACGGTCCCTTGTAGCCCCCCCCCCCCCTCTCTTCCAGCTGTTACTAAGGACATGTCTCTGAAAGGTCCTGCTCCAACCCCCAAAACAGATCATTGTAGCCCCCCCCCTCTCTTCCAGCTGTTACTAAGGACATGTCTCTGAAGTGTCCTGCTCCAAACCCCAAACAGATCCTTGTAGCCCCCCCCCCCTCTCTTCCAGCTGTTACTAAGGACATGTCTCTGGAGTGTCCTGCTCCAAACCCCAAACAGGTCCTTGTAGCCCCCCCCCCCCCCTCTCTTCCAGCTGTTACTAAGGACACATCTCAGGTTTACCACAAGGTGACTTCCTTTTGATTTCCTGCTTCTTCACACATACTCTCTCCAGCACAGGTTAGCTCCATTTCGTATAAGGCTTCACCCTCTAAGGCTATCGCTATTGGGTAATCCCACTGCACGTGTGCAGCACTGACAGACTTAATCCACGCCCACCTATGACGTGGGCCCCACCTACGGCCTCACTTCCGTATAAATAGGAAGTAGTCCCTACAATCTGCTCACATTTTTTCTTCAGCACCCCGTTGCAGAAGCATTGGCCCTCCGGCACACAGACAGCGGAGAGCGGACGCTCTCGCGGCTGCGGCCGAGGATGATTGGCTGGTCCAAGAGTCTTACTCCGTGGACCAAGCCCTTGATTGATGGGATCCGAGTGGCGGGCAGCAGGCAGGCGACTCCTTCCCCTCCATTCACGGATCACCATGTGGTTCCCCTGGCCCCATCCTCCCTCTCCTCCGGACGGTGGAGACAGGGCGGGGCCCGGTGTCAGCCCGACAGCCGAGCCTATAAGTTCGGCTGCCGGGCTGGCACTGGGTCCGCCTCTATCCACCATCACGGCTCTGCCGTCGATAGGCGGTATTCTCCAGGAAATCCCAGAGATCATAGGCAGCCGCCTAATGAGATCTCCCCGTTCCCCCGGTTCAGGAGAGCTCTGTCGGTTATTAGGCAGCAGGGCTCGCGGCACAAACCGGCTGTCTTTAAAACTTGTCGGTTGATTAGACAGCACGGGCTTGTTTCCTATGTCACAGATATGCCTCCACACACCTCCGCTCATACCACATACCGCGTTCACGCTCATACCTCAAGCAGGTTTGAGCTTGAACGCGCCTCAATGTCCGGTTTACGAGCCTTCTCCTAAACGGCGACATGATGAGAGCCGCTGTGCAATAGAGCGTGTGGAGTTGCATAAGCCAGCTGTGGTTAACCTGTCAGTTAGCAGACAGCAGGGCTATATAAATACAACTTTTTTTAATTTTGATTTGATTGTTTCTAACAGCAACGTTTCCGATTCGCCCGTGGGGGTAAAGCCCGCCCACATTTTAGTAATGTGGTCATGACGCAGCAAATCTGGATCAGCTCCGTTGTTCCCCGTTTTTAGAGATGTGGGTACGGAGGAAAAGAGAGAGGGGTTTGTTTCTTTTCTGACACTTTGAGAGTCTCCTGACACACCGGGGACACAGCGGGGACACAGCAGGGACACAGCGGGGACACAGCGGGGACATAGCGGGGACACACCGGGGACACAGCGGGGACACACCGGGGACACAGCGGGGACACAGCGGGGACACCCGGGACACAGCGGGGACACAGCGGGGACACACCGGGGACACACCGGGACACAGCGGGGACACAGCGGGGACACAGCGGGGACACACCGGGGGACACACTGGGGACACATGGTGATGTAGAGAAGACATCAGAGAGTGCATTCTGGATGATAGGAGACCTTTAACATGGAGTCTGGTTCTGAGGGAAGAGCCGCTTCAATATAAACATGTTAGCTTAGCTTAGCACTGAGCAGGTCTACCTTGTAAACATCAAAGTTGTCGATGATGGCGTCGAAGCAGGTGTACAGGTCGTTGAGCAGCGTCACCACCTGAGGGAACAACACAAACATGGGTTCCACTGGGTTCTACTGACCTGCAGTGTGGTTCTAATAGGTTCTACTGGATTCTACTGACGTACAGAGTTGTTCTAACAGGTTCTAATATGACTTGCAGAGTTGTCCTAACTAGTTCTAACATGTTTAATATGACCTAGAGAGTTGTTCTAACAGGTTCTAATAGGTTCCTCTGACCTGCAGTGGCGTGCTCTCCGCAGACAGCGCTGTGAACCCGATGATGTCACTGAAGTAGATGGTGACGGAGTCGAAGGCCTCGGCCTCAACCGTCTGTCCTCGTTTCAGCTGCTCTGCAACTGAGCTGCAACACAGCAAGTATTACTGTAGTACTGCGTAGTATTTAGTGCAGTACTCACTGAGGTAGTATCTGGTACAGTATGTATGTACTCACTGAGGTAGTATCTGGTACAGTATGTATGTACTCACTGAGGTAATATCTGGTACAGTATGTATGTACTCACTGAGGTAGTATCTGGTACAGCAGGGTCTCTGCTTTACGCTTCTCTTCATGATACGCCTGAGTCCGTTCCTCCACCAGTTCCTCCAGGTTGTTGGCGTATTGTTCCATCCGGGAGAGCAGGTTGTCCAGGATGTTCGAACCGTAACCCCTGAGAGACAGACGTTAGAACCGAACGACAGAGAGACAGACGTTAGAACCGTAACCTCTGGGAGACAGAGGTTAGAACCGTAACCTCTGAGAGACAGACGTTCGAACCGTAACCTCTGAGAGACAGACGTTCGAACCGTAACCCCTGAGAGACAGACGTTAGAACCGAACCACAGAGAGACAGACGTTAGAACCGTAACCTCTGAGAGACAGACGTTAGAACCGAACCACAGAGAGACAGACGTTAGAACCGTAACCCTTGAGAGACAGACGTTAGAACCGTAACCCCTGAGAGACAGACATTAGAACCGAACCACAGAGAGACAGACGTTAGAACCGTAACCTCTGGGAGATAGACGTTAGAACCGTAAGCCCTGAGAGACAGACGTTAGAACCGAAACCCCTGAGAGACAGATTTTAGAACCGTAAGCCCTGAGAGACAGACGTGAGAACCGTAACCCCTGAGAGACAGACGTTAGAACCGTAACCCCTGAGAGACAGACGCTAGAACAGTAACCCCTGAGAGACAGACGTTAGAACCGTAACCTCTGAGAGACAGACGTTAGAACCGTAACCCCTGAGAGACAGACGTTAGAACCGTAACCCTTGAGAGACAGACGTTAGAACCGTAACCCCTGAAAGACAGACGTTAGAACCGTAACCCCTGAGAGACAGATGTAAGAACCGTAACCTCTGAAAGACAGACGTTAGAACCGTAACCCCTGAAAGATAGACGTTAGAACCGTAACCCCTGAGAGACAGGCGCTAGAACCGTAACCCCTGAGAGACCGACGTTAGAACCGTAACCCCTGAAAGACAGACGTTAGAACCGTAACCCCTGAGAGACAGACGTTAGAACCGTAACCCCTGAAAGACAGACGTTAGAACCGTAACCCCTGAAAGACAGACGTTAGAACCGTAACCCCTGAGGGACAGACGTTAGAACCGTAACCCCTGAGAGACAGACGTTATAACCGTAACCCCTGAAAGAGAGACGTTAGAACCGTAACCCCTGAGAGACAGCCGCTAGAACCGTAACCCCAGAGAGACAGACGTTAGAACCGTAACCCCTGAAAGACAGACGTTAGAACCGTAACCTCTGAGAGACAGACGTTAGAACCGTAACCCCTGAGGGACAGACGTTAGAACCGTAACCCCTGAAAGACAGACATTAGAACCGTAACCTTTGAGAGACAGATGTTAGAACCGTAACCCCTGAGAGACAGATGTTAGAACCGTAACCTCTGAGAGACAGACGTTAGAACCGTAACCTTTGAGAGACAGATGTTAGAACCGTAACCCCTGAGAAACAGATGTTAGAACCGTAACCTTTGAGAGACAGATGTTAGAACCGTAACCTCTGAGAGACAGACGTTAGAACCGTAACCTTTGAGAGACAGATGTTAGAACCGTAACCCCTGAGAGACAGACGCTAGAACCGTAACCCCTGAGAGACAGACGTTAGAACCGTAACCCCTGAGAGACAGACGTTAGAACGTAACCTCTGAGAGACAGACGCTAGAACCGTAACCGCTGAGAGACAGACGTTAGAACCGTAACCTCTGAGAGACAGACGTTAGAACCGTAACCCCTGAGAGACAGACGTTAGAACCGTAACCCCTGAGAGACAGACGTTCGAACCGTAACCCCTGAGAGACAGACGTTAGAACCGAACCACAGAGAGACAGACGTTAGAACCGTAACCTCTGAGAGACAGACGTTAGAACCGAACCACAGAGAGACAGACGTTAGAACCGTAACCCTTGAGAGACAGACGTTAGAACCGTAACCCCTGAGAGACAGACGTTAGAACCGTAACCTCTGGGAGACAGACGTTAGAACCGTAAGCCCTGAGAGACAGACGTTAGAACCGTAACCCCTTAGAGACAGACGTTAGAACCGTAACCTCTGGGAGACAGACGTTAGAACCGTAAGCCCTGAGAGACAGACGTTAGTACCATAACCCTTGAGAGACAGACGTTAGAACCGTAACCCTTGAGAGACAGACGTTAGAACCGTAACCCCTGAGAGACAGATGTTAGAACCGTAACCCCTGAGAGACAGACGTTAGAACTGTAACCCCTGAGAGACAGATGTTAGAACCGTAACCTCTGAGAGACAGATGTTAGAACCGTAACCCCTGAGAGACAGACGTTAGAACCGTAACCCCTGAGAGACAGACATTAGAACCGTAACCCCTGAGAAGACAGATGTTAGAACCGTAACCTCTGAGAGACAGACGTTAGAACCGTAACCCCTGAGAGACAGATGTTAGAACCGTAACCTCTGAGAGACAGATGTTAGAACCGTAACCTCTGAGAGACAGACGTTAGAACCGTAACCCCTGAGAGACAGATGTTAGAACCGCAACCCCTGAGAGACAGATGTTAGAACCGTAACCCCTGAGAGACAGACGTTTAGAACCGTAACCCCTGAGAGACAGACGTTAGAACCGTAACCTCTGAGAGACAGATGTTAGAACCGTAACCCCTGAGAGACAGATGTTTAGAACCGTAACCCCTGAGAGACAGACGTTAGAACCGAAACCCCTGAGAGACAGATGTTAGAACCGTAAGCCCTGAGAGACAGACGTTAGAACCGAAACCCCCTGAGAGACAGACGTAGAACCGTACCTGAGAGACAGACTTTAGAACCGTAACCCTGAGAGACAGACGTTCGAACCGAAACCCCTGAGAGACAGACGTTAGAAACCGAAAACCCTGAGAGACAGACGTTAGAACCGAACCCCTGAGAGACAGACGTTAGAACCGTAACCCCCTGAGAGACAGACGTTAGAACCGTAACCCCTGAGAGACAGACGTTAGAACCGAAACCCCTGAGAGACAGACGTTTAGAACCGTAACCCCTGAGAGACAGATGTTAGAACCGTAAGCCCTGAGAGACAGACGTTAGAACCGTAACCCCTGAGAGACAGACGTTAGAACCGTAAGCCCTGAGAGACAGACGTTAGAATCGTAACCCCTGAGAGACAGACGTTAGAACCGTAACCCCTGAGAGACAGACGCTAGAACCGTAACCCCTGAGAGACAGACGTTAGAACCGTAACCTCTGAGAGACAGACGTTAGAACCGTAACCCCTGAGAGACAGACGTTAGAACCGTAACCCTTGAGAGACAGACGTTAGAACCGTAACCCCTGAGAGACAGACGTTAGAACCGTAATCCTTGAGAGACAGACGTTAGAACCGTAACCCCTGAGAGACAGATGTTAGAACCGTAACCTCTGAGAGACAGACGTTAGAACCGTAACCCCTGAGAGACAGATGTTAGAACCGTAACCTCTGAGAGACAGATGTTAGAACCGTAACCCCTGAGAGACAGACGTTAGAACCGTAACCCCTGAGAGACAGACGTTAGAACCGTAACCCCTGAGAGACAGACGTTAGAACCGAAACCCCTGAGAGACAGACGTTAGAACCGTAACCCCTGAGAGACAGATGTTAGAACCGTAAGCCCTGAGAGACAGACGTTAGAACCGTAACCCCTGAGAGACAGACGTTCGAACCGAAACCCCTGAGAGACAGACGTTAGAACCGAAACCCCTGAGAGACAGACGTTAGAACCGTAACCCCTGAGAGACAGACGTTAGAACCGTAACCCCTGAGAGACAGACGTTAGAACCGAAACCCCTGAGAGACAGATGTTAGAACCGCAACCCCTGAGAGACAGATGTTAGAACCGTAACCCCTGAGAGACAGACGTTAGAACCGTAACCCCTGAGAGACAGACGTTAGAACCGTAACCTCTGAGAGACAGATGTTAGAACCGTAACCCCTGAGAGACAGATGTTAGAACCGTAACCCCTGAGAGACAGACGTTAGAACCGAAACCCCTGAGAGACAGATGTTAGAACCGTAAGCCCTGAGAGACAGACGTTAGAACCGAAACCCCTGAGAGACAGACGTTAGAACCGTAACCCCTGAGAGACAGACTTTAGAACCGTAACCCTTGAGAGACAGACGTTCGAACCGAAACCCCTGAGAGACAGACGTTAGAACCGAAACCCCTGAGAGACAGAGGTTAGAACCGAAACCCCTGAGAGACAGACGTTAGAACCGTAACCCCTGAGAGACAGACGTTAGAACCGTAACCCCTGAGAGACAGACGTTAGAACCGAAACCCCTGAGAGACAGACGTTAGAACCGTAACCCCTGAGAGACAGACGTTAGAACCGTAACCCCTGAGAGACAGACGTTAGAACCGAAACCCCTGAGAGACAGACGTTAGAACCGTAACCCCTGAGAGACAGACGTTCGAACCGAAACCCCTGAGAGACAGACGTTAGAACCGTAACCCCTGAGAGACAGACGTTAGAACCGTAACCCCTGAGAGACAGACGTTAGAACCGTAACCCCTGAGAGACAGACGTTAGAACCGAAACCCCTGAGAGACAGACGTTAGAACCGTAACCCCTGAGAGACAGATGTTAGAACCGTAAGCCCTGAGAGACAGACGTTAGAACCGAAACCCCTGAGAGACAGACGTTAGAACCGTAGGCCCTGAGAGACAGACGTTAGAATCGTAACCTCTGAGAGACAGACGTTAGAACCGTAACCTTTGAGAGACAGATGTTAGAACCGTAACCCCTGAGAAACAGATGTTAGAACCGTAACCTTTGAGAGACAGATGTTAGAACCGTAACCTCTGAGAGACAGACGTTAGAACCGTAACCTTTGAGAGACAGATGTTAGAACCGTAACCCCTGAGAGACAGACGCTAGAACCGTAACCCCTGAGAGACAGACGTTAGAACCGTAACCCCTGAGAGACAGACGTTAGAACGTAACCTCTGAGAGACAGACGCTAGAACCGTAACCGCTGAGAGACAGACGTTAGAACCGTAACCTCTGAGAGACAGACGTTAGAACCGTAACCCCTGAGAGACAGACGTTAGAACCGTAACCCCTGAGAGACAGACGTTCGAACCGTAACCCCTGAGAGACAGACGTTAGAACCGAACCACAGAGAGACAGACGTTAGAACCGTAACCTCTGAGAGACAGACGTTAGAACCGAACCACAGAGAGACAGACGTTAGAACCGTAACCCTTGAGAGACAGACGTTAGAACCGTAACCCCTGAGAGACAGACGTTAGAACCGTAACCTCTGGGAGACAGACGTTAGAACCGTAAGCCCTGAGAGACAGACGTTAGAACCGTAACCCCTTAGAGACAGACGTTAGAACCGTAACCTCTGGGAGACAGACGTTAGAACCGTAAGCCCTGAGAGACAGACGTTAGTACCATAACCCTTGAGAGACAGACGTTAGAACCGTAACCCTTGAGAGACAGACGTTAGAACCGTAACCCCTGAGAGACAGATGTTAGAACCGTAACCCCTGAGAGACAGACGTTAGAACTGTAACCCCTGAGAGACAGATGTTAGAACCGTAACCTCTGAGAGACAGATGTTAGAACCGTAACCCCTGAGAGACAGACGTTAGAACCGTAATCCTTGAGAGACAGACATTAGAACCGTAACCCCTGAGAGACAGATGTTAGAACCGTAACCTCTGAGAGACAGACGTTAGAACCGTAACCCCTGAGAGACAGATGTTAGAACCGTAACCTCTGAGAGACAGATGTTAGAACCGTAACCTCTGAGAGACAGACGTTAGAACCGTAACCCCTGAGAGACAGATGTTAGAACCGTAACCCCTGAGAGACAGATGTTAGAACCGTAACCCCTGAGAGACAGACGTTAGAACCGTAACCCCTGAGAGACAGACGTTAGAACCGTAACCTCTGAGAGACAGATGTTAGAACCGTAACCCCTGAGAGACAGATGTTAGAACCGTAACCCCTGAGAGACAGACGTTAGAACCGAAACCCCTGAGAGACAGATGTTAGAACCGTAAGCCCTGAGAGACAGACGTTAGAACCGTAACCCCTGAGAGACAGACGTTAGAACCGTAACCCCTGAGAGACAGACTTTAGAACCGTAACCCTTGAGAGACAGACGTTCGAACCGAAACCCCTGAGAGACAGACGTTAGAACCGAAACCCCTGAGAGACAGACGTTAGAACCGAAACCCCTGAGAGACAGACGTTAGAACCGTAACCCCTGAGAGACAGACGTTAGAACCGTAACCCCTGAGAGACAGACGTTAGAACCGAAACCCCTGAGAGACAGACGTTAGAACCGTAACCCCTGAGAGACAGATGTTAGAACCGTAAGCCCTGAGAGACAGACGTTAGAACCGTAACCCCTGAGAGACAGATGTTAGAACCGTAAGCCCTGAGAGACAGACGTTAGAATCGTAACCCCTGAGAGACAGACGTTAGAACCGTAACCCCTGAGAGACAGACGCTAGAACCGTAACCCCTGAGAGACAGACGTTAGAACCGTAACCTCTGAGAGACAGACGTTAGAACCGTAACCCCTGAGAGACAGACGTTAGAACCGTAACCCTTGAGAGACAGACGTTAGAACCGTAACCCCTGAGAGACAGACGTTAGAACCGTAATCCTTGAGAGACAGACGTTAGAACCGTAACCCCTGAGAGACAGATGTTAGAACCGTAACCTCTGAGAGACAGACGTTAGAACCGTAACCCCTGAGAGACAGATGTTAGAACCGTAACCTCTGAGAGACAGATGTTAGAACCGTAACCTCTGAGAGACAGACGTTAGAACCGTAACCCCTGAGAGACAGATGTTAGAACCGCAACCCCTGAGAGACAGACGTTAGAACCGTAACCCCTGAGAGACAGATGTTAGAACCGTAACCTCTGAGAGACAGATGTTAGAACCGTAACCCCTGAGAGACAGATGTTAGAACCGTAACCCCTGAGAGACAGACGTTAGAACCGTAACCCCTGAGAGACAGACGTTAGAACCGTAACCTCTGAGAGACAGATGTTAGAACCGTAAGCCCTGAGAGACAGATGTTAGAACCGTAACCCTGAGAGACAGACGTTAGAACCGAAACCCCTGAGAGACAGACGTTAGAACCGTAAGCCCTGAGAGACAGACGTTAGAACCGAAACGCCTGAGAGACAGACGTTAGAACCGTAACCCCTGAGAGACAGACGTTAGAACCGTAACCCTTGAGAGACAGACGTTAGAACCGAAACCCCTGAGAGACAGATGTTAGAACCGTAACCCCTGAGAGACAGACGTTAGAACCGAAACCCCTGAGAGACAGATGTTAGAACCGTAAGCCCTGAGAGACAGACGTTAGAACCGAAACCCCTGAGAGACAGACGTTAGAACCGTAACCCCTGAGAGACAGACGTTCGAACCGAAACCCCTGAGAGACAGACGTTAGAACCGAAACCCCTGAGAGACAGACGTTAGAACCGTAACCCCTGAGAGACAGACGTTAGAACCGTAACCCCTGAGAGACAGACGTTAGAACCGAAACCCCTGAGAGACAGATGTTAGAACCGCAACCCCTGAGAGACAGATGTTAGAACCGTAACCCCTGAGAGACAGACGTTAGAACCGTAACCCCTGAGAGACAGACGTTAGAACCGTAACCTCTGAGAGACAGATGTTAGAACCGTAACCCCTGAGAGACAGATGTTAGAACCGTAACCCCTGAGAGACAGACGTTAGAACCGAAACCCCTGAGAGACAGATGTTAGAACCGTAAGCCCTGAGAGACAGACGTTAGAACCGAAACCCCTGAGAGACAGACGTTAGAACCGTAACCCCTGAGAGACAGACGTTAGAACCGTAACCCTTGAGAGACAGACGTTCGAACCGAAACCCCTGAGAGACAGACGTTAGAAACCGAAACCCCTGAGAGACAGACGTTAGAAACCGAAACCCCTGAGAGACAGACGTTAGAACCGAAACCCCTGAGAGACAGACGTTAGAACCGTAACCCCTGAGAGACAGACGTTAGAACCGAAACCCCTGAGAGACAGACGTTAGAACCGTAACCCCTGAGAGACAGATGTTAGAACCGTAAGCCCTGAGAGACAGACGTTAGAACCGTAACCCCTGAGAGACAGATGTTAGAACCGTAAGCCCTGAGAGACAGACGTTAGAATCGTAACCCCTGAGAGACAGACGTTAGAACCGTAACCCCTGAGAGACAGACGCTAGAACCGTAACACCCTGAGAGACAGACGTTAGAACCGTAACCTCTGAGAGACAGACGTTAGAACCGTAACCCCTGAGAGACAGACGTTAGAACCGTAACCCTTGAGAGACAGACGTTAGAACCGTAACCCCTGAGAGACAGACGTTAGAACCGTAATCCTTGAGAGACAGACGTTAGAACCGTAACCCCTGAGAGACAGATGTTAGAACCGTAACCTCTGAGAGACAGACGTTAGAACCGTAACCCCTGAGAGACAGATGTTAGAACCGTAACCTCTGAGAGACAGATGTTAGAACCGTAACCCCTGAGAGACAGACGTTAGAACCGTAACCCCTGAGAGACAGATGTTAGAACCGCAACCCCTGAGAGACAGACGTTAGAACCGTAACCCCTGAGAGACAGATGTTAGAACCGTAACCTCTGAGAGACAGATGTTAGAACCGTAACCCCTGAGAGACAGATGTTAGAAACCGTAACCCCCTGAGAGACAGACGTTAGAACCGTAACCCCTGAGAGACAGACGTTAGAACCGTAACCCCTGAGAGACAGACGTTAGAACCGTAACCTCTGAGAGGACAGATGTTAGAACCGTAAGCCCTGAGAGACAGATGTTAGAACCGTAACCCCTGAGAGACAGACGTTAGAACCGAAACCCCTGAGAGACAGATGTTAGAACCGTAAGCCCTGAGAGACAGACGTTAGAACCGAAACGCCTGAGAGACAGACGTTAGAACCGTAACCCCTGAGAGACAGACGTTAGAACCGTAACCCTTGAGAGACAGACGTTCGAACCGAAACCCCTGAGAGACAGATGTTAGAACCGTAACCCCTGAGAGACAGACGTTAGAACCGAAACCCCTGAGAGACAGATGTTAGAACCGTAAGCCCTGAGAGACAGACGTTCGAACCGAAACCCCTGAGAGACAGACGTTAGAACCGTAACCCCTGAGAGACAGACGTTCGAACCGAAACCCCTGAGAGACAGACGTTAGAACCGAAACCCCTGAGAGACAGACGTTAGAACCGTAACCCCTGAGAGACAGACGTTAGAACCGTAACCCCTGAGAGACAGACGTTAGAACCGAAACCCCTGAGAGACAGACGTTAGAACCGTAACCCCTGAGAGACAGATGTTAGAACCGTAAGCCCTGAGAGACAGACGTTAGAACCGAAACCCCTGAGAGACAGACGTTAGAACCGTAGGCCCTGAGAGACAGACGTTAGAATCGTAACCCCTGAGAGACAGACGTTAGAACCGTAACCCCTGAGAGACAGACGCTAGAACCGTAACCCCTGAGAGACAGACGTTAGAACCGTAACCTCTGAGAGACAGACGTTAGAACCGTAACCCCTGAGAGACAGACGTTAGAACCGTAACCTCTGAGAGACAGACGCTAGAACCGTAAGCCCCGAGAGACAGACATTAGAACCGTAACCCCTGAGAGACAGATGTTAGAACCGTAACCCCTGAGAGACAGACGTTAGAACCGTAACCTCTGAGAGACAGACGCTAGAACCGTAAGCCCCGAGAGACAGACGTTAGAACCGTAACCCCTGCAGATAATACATTTTATAAAGGAGTCTCTCTAGGACCTAAAACACAGTTTAAAGTTGACCCCCAACCATTGTTTGCCCCCCCATTTTTGGTTCCCCCCATCACCTGTGCTGATGCCCCTCCCCCCTCATATTGATGCCCCGCCCCCCTGATATTGATGCTCCACCCCTCTGATCTTGATGCCCCACCCCCTCACCTGTGCTGTTTCCTCAGCAGGATCTTGATGGAGCTGAAGTCGGGACGTTCTGCTGGTTCTTGGTTCCAGCAGCGCTGCATCAGGAGCCCCAGATCCTCGCTGTGGCTGAGGGGGCAGAGCGAGGGTCTGAGGGGGGGGAGGGGGGGGGGAACAGGTGAGGTGGGGGCCGGAGCCATGACGCACCGCCTGCACGATCTCTGAGGGGGGGGGGACAATACGTTACATTTGTTAATATCTAAAACAAATAAAATTGAAATAATTATAGGTGTTGTGAAAATCCTGAATGTCCTCCTCCAACATGAGAGTAACGTGATAACTAAGACATCAACTGCAGCTGTGAACATGACAGGATGTGTGATTACCTAAAAGAGCATCAGGACTGTTGAGGCAGATGATAGCTATGTGATTAACATGATGATTCAGCCTCTATGGAGAGAGACAATCAAGCATGCTCATTTCTGACGTGGAGCTAATCTGAAGTAACCCTTGAATACTGCTTTCTATTCCTCCATCTTGTGACTGTGTAACTCCCTCTCTTGGATATCAGCATGTGAAGGACACTGTTCAGGAACTAGTTGATGCTCTGTATGTGATGACTCCTTCCATTCTGGAGAGGATCACAGATACATGGATCCTGAGGTTCAAGCTAAACCGGGGACCAGGGAGAGTTTCTAATAATAGGTATCATGAAATAATATTCAGATTGATTGAAATGTAATACATTCATATTCATATTAAAACCTTTTCAAATATTAAATCAATGTAAATATTGTGCCAGCTGTCGGCTCAGAATGTTCTCTGATATGTCGGTATGCAGCTTCCTGCCTCCATCTTTGTTTTGCTCTCTGTCGACCAATCAGGACGAACCTGCTGATCACATGACTTTCATGAAGTCTAAATTCATAAAACTTAGACAAACTTAGTATTATCTTTAATATAATTACTATTAGTCATCATGATATATCATATCATATATCTTATCCAGAAATGTTTATTAAGTAATAACAAGTAAAAGTGTTGATAAAAGCTGTGATGCCTGTAGTGGACATTTTTATTATATCCTTATATGTTTAAACCAAATGTTTCTCATTTCCTGAGATGTGCTGTTTTCTTCTTTTACTCTACTGTGGGTTTATTCCCAAGCGCTTCAAGGCCACACAGCTGATTTGGCAGACTATGTTGAGGCTACTCCTCTTCACACAAAGTCTCACAAGAACTTCCCTATTCTGAGCTCAAGGACAGGTGTCTAATAACAATGAGACCGTGTGAAGACAGATAGTCTGAGCTTCCCGCCCTTTCTTGTATATAAGCTTTGCTTTCCTATTATATCTGCGCACACTCGCGCAGACTATTCTATACTCTGTGAGACCTGTGTCTATATCAGTGTTTCTCAAAGTTTTTCATACCAAGGACCACTTAACCAATAAAAAAACACTCGCGGACCACCTTACTCCACAAATATCCAAAAACACATCGTTTTTTACAAATCGCCTGAAAATGGTACAAACAAGTGGCAACATGTGTGATGAAGGTGTTTATCTGGGATATATCATGCAATCGAAAGTGAAACTTAAGCTCGCTCCATTGTGGAGATATTCCTGCGAGAGTGCGTAAAACTCAAATAAATAAATGTATTTCAAATGTGAAATATACTCACGGACCACTAGGGGGCGCTCACGGACCACCAGTGGTCCGCGGACCACACTTTGAGAAGCACTGGTCTATATGTATTGTATCTATGTATTTGAAGATTCAAATAAATAACCAGAAAGACAACTCTGTCTGATTCACCATTTATTTGTTTTGATCACTCTGACTTGTACTCTCCACAGTATTGGGTCTCAGATTTCCATAACAATTGGCGTTGTCGGCAGGATCTCTGCAAGTTCGATTGGGAACACCTACGGACGCTGGTGGTCGCTCCGGGATCCTCGGATTCTCCTCTACCTCGACAGAAACCGTACGGGACGAGAGGACCAGCGCCGGGGGTGGAACCGATTGACTTCACGAGATCCAACGAACTCAAAGGCTTTCAATACTCGGTGAGATGTACAGTGTCTAAATTGTTTAAAGTTAAACGTAATTAAACTCCGTGATATTTATGAGAGGGACTGCTCGAAAGTAGGATATTTGGGATATCCGTCGTGATTTGGGATTACGATTAGTTTTTGTGTGATTTGTACTGAGAAAAAAATATCACATCATCGACGGATGAAAAAATAGTGTTTTGGTAACGGGGTGTTTTGGTAACACTTAAAGACTTTGTTTTGGGAGCAAAGCAGGTGTTTTGGTAACACTTAAAGACTTTGTTTTGGGAGCAAAGCAGGTAGGGGGCTTGTACACTCTCCTGAGGGTCCGATTGTGGATGTCATGCGAGCAGAAAAGGTGAAAACAGTCTGTCTAAATTAAATATCTGGACGGAAATGTTCGGATTTCCAAAGGGAGGTATTTTGAGTAAATAAAAAATCAAGAACCTAAAGAATAAATTACAAGAACATGAAGATGGAATGAAGGGTAAAAATAAAGTTAAAGTAAAAGACTTATAGAAAACTGGACACTCACAGAAAGTGTTTATAATACTGGGGAGTAAAGAAGGCAGTTGGCCTTGGGGCATTAAAGAAAATATTAAGGTTGAAGATGAATGTGAAGAAAAGAAGGAAAATAAATTATTTCCAAAACCATGTAAACCCCAGACATCTCTGTGTCCTTCCATTGCAGGCCCGAATGACCTCTCCTCGACTGGGCATCCTTTCCCCTCCCCCGGGGTACAACCCTGGCAATCCGGTTGGCCCACCTCAACCACCTCCACCGCCACTACAAGTCCCAGCCATGCAGTCAACAGACTCACCGTAAGCTCGTCCACCCCGATCAGCCCCAAGTAGATGGGGACAACAGCGGGATAAACAAACCCGATGGGGGGACACACCTCAGTAATGCCTTTCTCAATGGACTCACAGACACAGCGCAAGCTACGCAGAATGCTGACCGCTCAAAATACCGAGGGAGAGGCAGAAGAGGTTTTCCGAGGCAGAAGACGAGAAGCAAGACCTTCATTTGACGAAAGATGTTTCAAGTGGCTCACAGGGGGGGGGACATTGACCTTTGTCATCGAGATTGCCCTGAGCCTTTAACAAATCGTATTAAATAATCTAATGACAGACTGTAAACAGAATAGCTGAAATTTTAACAAACTAAATAACTCCGTTACCTCTAATCATTAACCCATGCTTGTATCATGTAGTTAACTCCGTGTGTTGCTGCTAGCATACATAACACCTGACGTGGAAACGTTACTCGTGATGGAGCTACAGAGCTGCTAGAAAGACGGTCGAACCCGGTACATTCCTCCGTCTGCATGCGGTGCACTTTTGCTAAATGTTTAGACAAATTGCTCGTGCTTACATGCTAAACTCTTATTGCACTTATGGTAACAAGTATTCTTCACATCGAGACGGGTAAAGTTTAACCACACCTCGGAGCGCGTTCTCTCCGCCATCTCCGCAGTATGCTCCGCTGCATGTAGCAGCTGCGTGTGTGTAAACTGCCCCGCCCCCTCGCACACAGACGGGAGAGAGATCTCGTCTGATCGAAAATACATCATAGACGCATTTGTTATCTTTGCATATTAGAAACTAGTTGGCGACACTAAGACTGCGATATCATGTTTTTTAGCAATAATACATGACATATATAAATGTACTGTATGCATTCAAAAGTGCTTAGATGCGTTGATGGCTGCATCGTTACCAGACCTGTGAAGTTTTGGGCCGTTTGGAGCATTTTCACTGAAGTTATGAGAAAACCGTGTTTCATGGTGAGCATTACGGCATTTGAAGAAATCTCAAAACTGTCCCGTAGACGTCTTCACGGCTGGACTGTTAGCACACATGTGAAGTTTGAGCACTTCAGTCAGACAACGTGTTTCTTAATATGTTTATTAGAAGCAGCAGATAGTTGAGTTTGGCGTCTAGGCAACTCCCTTCTTTACGGCATCAGCACGACATAGCTCAACAGACTCCAACGGGTTCAACATGCAGCTGCACGTCTGCTCACGCATACCACATCATGGCATCACATCACCCCAGTCCTCAAAGACCTCCACTGGCTTCCTGTCTCCCATCGCATCAACTACAAAGTTCTGGTCCTCACCTACAAAGCCCTCCACCATCTGGCTTCTTCTTCTTATCGTGTCCACAAGGCAGTCAGTTACAGGGCTTGGTTAGATGTGGTTCAGCCACAGCTGAACACATTGCTGTCCCTTCTCATTAAACTCTGCCAAGTCCGATGTTGTGCAGGGTTGCTCCAGCAGGGGGCATATCAGGAGATGTTGCATGGTTTGTGGTTCAATGCCGCAGTCACACACAACGTCCCCGTCATTTAAGTATCCCCATTTGGCGAGAGTGGCTTTTGCACGTCCAACACAGATCTTATTCTGTTTAGGCATTTCCACACTGCGTAGTTGGTGTCTGCTCCAGGGGGCAGTGCCTCGCTCGCCTTTAGCTCCATTGTTGTTGCTGATGGGAGGTTGTCAAGTCTTTCTTCCCACCGAGTGACTCTTTCACTGCTTGTGCTCGGTGTTCCGAGGGGTGGGAACGCTCTTCAGGAAACTTTTCCTGGATTTAAGGCGGCTGTTGGCTGGCACATGGCCAAAGAGAGGATGTCTTTGGTCAGTAGACTGTTGTTGGCGCTCTTTCTTGCTTGCTGCATTTCGTCGTATCTCTGGTGGGGCTATGCCTGCCAGGATGTACAGACGGTCTGTAGGTGTTGATTCAGGCAGCCTGTGATAATGCGGCAGCTAGCATTGAGGGCGGGATCCAGCTTCTTGGCATGGGCAGCTCGTTCCCATACTGGGCAGGCATACTCGGCAGCTGAGTAGCAGAGGGCTAGTGCGGTTTGACTTCAGAGTCTGTGGGTTTCCAGGTCGTGCCGGTGAGCTTGCGGATTATGTTATTCATCGCACTCACTTTGCACTTAGTCTTCTCAGTGTGGGTCTTAAAGAGAGGCATCTGTCCAGGGTTACCCCTAGGTAGGACTGGGTGCTCACAGTGTTCAAGGGAGGTTCCTGACAAGCTGACCTTCAGTTGGCGCTTGGCTTCACGGTTTCTCAGGTGGAAGGCACACACCTGTGTCTTAGATGGGTTTGCACGTAGGTGGTTCTCTTCATAGTAAGGTGTTAGCTCTGCCAGAGCGTTAGAGAGTCTGGTC